TAACATGAACTGACATTACGCTGCTTTTACTGCATTTGTTTATATTTGTGGCCATAAAAATTACATTAGATTTTCGACATGATTGTAGTGCATCCTCTTGGATGTAATATTATAATTTATTTTTTGCTGTGTGTAATATGCCCGCGAGGCTCAACCAGTTGTGGACTACTCAAAATTGCTTTGTTTTCATAAAAAATACCACTCAATTAAAAAAAAAAAACTTAAAAGCCATCATCACCATAGTGGCGATCGTGAAAGTTCTATAGAGTGCTACAAACTTCTCAAAAGTACTATAGACTTCTCGGAAGTTCTGCGGTCTTTTCAGAAGCTTTATACACTGAAAATAAAATTTCGTTTGTACAGCAAAATCGCTCGTTTGCTCAACGAATTCATTCGTTGTTTTCTACACCAAAATCGATTTGTACATGTTATGTAGCTAGTTTTTTTAGAGAATGATAGTGTGTTAGTGTTATAACTTTATCATTGGAAGGAATAAATCATGTCAAACAAATTTAAAAAGACAGTCTCGACTCGAACCATGAATTTTACGTTTGTCAAACCTGTGCTTTATTCTTCGCTCTATCTATACTACAGAAAATGATGAGGCTAAAGACAAATAAGAAGCGCTCATAAAACGATAACTCGATTTCGTTTACTTTTACAGCTGCTGCTTGTATTGGTAAAACCGAAAATATTACAAGTAAAAAAGCATGCCATCTCCAAAATCACAACATCAACACAGAGCAGTTGTTCGCTGGACAGTACAAAGTTGAACTCGTATATTATACGAATAAAGAGTAATAGGGGAGAGACGAGGGGCACGCACTTACAGGTATGAGTGCGTGATATTTAAAATGCATCGAAATAATTTAAATACTTTGAACACAATAATAATTTGAATTTCAATACTTTCAGCTGAAAGTAATCAACAAATAATTAACGATAATTACAGGGGTAATTAATGTAATGAAAATAATTTAAATGAATTGAAAATAGTTAAAATATCAAATTTGGTCAGTAATTAAAGTATTGAATGAAATTAAGAGTGTATTTAAAGTAATGAATGCAGTAATGGCAAGATTTTAAGTATTTTGTCGGCAGGCTGCGTAGTATTGAAAGACTAGTGCGTGCCCTTGGGGAGAGGACTAATTCGGCCTAATAGCCCATTCAGGGCCTATCGAGCAGAAAACATCAATTATTTCTAGGATTACCCCATAAACGAATCAATTACACGTATGGTATGATATTTTAGTTCAAAAGCTACCAAACGCAGTCAGTTAGAACACGTGATATGAATGTTTATACTCATTATTATCGAAAACTAAAGAAGCTTTAAACTTTTTTCTCGATTCGATAGGCCGAAGTGCAGCGCCATTGAATTTCAATGCGTGAGGGCAAATTTCTTACCCGTAGGCCAAGTTTACTGTCAAGAAGGGGTGTTTCATTTTCAGAAATATCTCAACAATTTGTTACTCTTCATCAAATCTAGCAGTACGTATGGAAAGGCGAATACATTTATTAGCTACACTTAGTGGAAACATTAAATTTTGAAGAAAAAAAAAATCCGTTTGAAAAAGAGGGATAAAGTGCGGAATGCGCTTAATAGGCGAAAAATTAGCTCTAAGCCCTATTAGCATTGCGCCAGATAACAGGCATAACAAATGTTCCCAATTAGTTCAAGGAATTTCCCTTTTTTTAATCCAAATTGTCGAATTCTCGGAAAAATTACAACTTAGCGATTTTTAACTAAGTGAGCTATCTGTGCATTTTGGAAGTGAACAAATGTTTCAAATTCCATTGATGTTAAAATGTTGTGATTTTAATCGAATTAGACTGATTTCAATTTGCTCATGTTACATGCTCACAAATTAAAACTTAAAAAAATATGATGATGAGACGTCACGGTTGATGCATGCGTTCATGATTATCGATTTCAGCGGATCCTCATGGATACGTTATATATTTGAAGAAATGTAAACTGTGCGATGTTTATCTTTATATTGACCGTACATATTCATTGTTCAATTTGTAAAAGAAAATTATTAATGGGCGCCAAAAAATGCCACGCCGATTCACGCCGCCGCCGCCGCCGCCTAAAAGTGCTATCGGCGTGACGCCGATGACGCCGCCGCCGCCGAGCATAATTACCCCGCACGCCGCCGCCGACCATTTTTGAATCGGCGCACACCTCTAAATTTACATGATTTTTTGTAAGAGTGTGTATTCAATTTCAACTGCTTATACTTCAACCATCTACTTAGAGAACGCAAATCTCCATTCAAGTGTAAAACGGCATCATCTAAATCCTTAGCTGCAATGAATAATACAGTATCATCTGCAAAAATATTAATGTCGCAAAATCGTAAAACACGTCGCAAGTCATTAATATACATAATAAATAACAGGGGCCCTAATACACTTCCCTGGGGCACTCCAAGGTTATTCCCCACGGGACTGGAAACAGAATCATTAAAAACAGTCCGTTGAGTTCTGTCAGACAAATAGCTTTGAAACCATTTATATGCAGTACTCGTAATTCCAAAGCGCTTGATTGATCTTAATAATAAGGGCCTAGAAATTTTTTCAAAAGCGCGTTTAAGATCCCAAAAAACAGCAAAAATCGTATATTTACAATCCAATTTATTTTTCCACTTCGCTAATACCAAATTCAACGCGGTTTCACAATAATGACCTTCCCGATATTGTTCTGCTGAGAGCTTTCGATGCCTGTACCATTTTTACATAAGTATAATTTTGAGGCAAGTCCAATCATACTTCTATGCCCAGGGTAGTCGAGAAATTTTTCAACCCGAAAAATTCCTAGACCCGTCCGGGAATCGAACTCAGCCACTTCCAGTATGGTCTTGCTTTGTAACTGCGCCTTTACCGACTGAGTTAAGGGAGGGAAATGTGTGGTGTGAATACATATTAAGATCTGTGAATATATTTTTAGTAGGAGTTTTTATTAGCCCTTTAATTCAATTTCACTACCTTTGAAAAAGTGACATCTGTTGCAATATAACATTTTAGATCATGTCCTATTAAGATTTAACATGATATAAAAAATGGACAGATCAGTCAACCAACAGAAATGGCAGTAATTGGGTTCTGTTTATGAATAGGATCTCTCTGGTTACTCTCAACCCTTCAAACACATAACAGCGGTAAAGTGTATGGTTATTGTGATAATTTATTTACATTTATGACTTTCGCTTACAATATCCGTTTTGATAGTGATGAAAACAACTTTGTACCAAATGATTATTGAAGCGTCGCTACAGTGTAAGCGGGGTTGCATCTCGATGGGAAGAATGCAGTTATTTTTTTGTATTTAAATTAATGTCATTTTAATGCAAATGTCAAATCGGCAATCCATAAAGCGCTACAATACTGGTATCGGACAGAAGAAGCAGTAAAGTCTCATTTGTATTTCATTGCCCTGACAAACGTGAGCTTATCTCCAGGAACAAATCTCCGCCAATCGAAGTGCGGTATTCCACACGCATAAAGTCCGATAATCAATTATAACCGTCGATAAACAAGGACGAACAACAACCATAATCGTCAAACAACACAAACACACTGAAGTGTTCATTAACATTTCGTCATCTAATTATGATGCCGATTTAAATGCAAATTTCTAGTGTAGCCCTCGTCGTTTTCGCTTGCTCCAAGAGACAACACAACACTTGCCCTAACCTATACCTCCGTCTGCGATGGTGCGGGTGCATCGTGGATGGAGCTCTGGAAGCACCAGTCTGAGATATTAAAAATGCCATGATGGTCGACCGCGACAAGCCATAAATTATGACATAATTAGGTGGACGCTCTGCGGTGAAAAGTTGTCGTTATAACCAAATTAAAACCAATCTCCGAGGGGTCAGAGCGGGGAATTGAGCATCAGTGGATTAACAATAACAACAGTACGGTTGGAGGATTAACGCGAGCTTGCCCAGCGGTGTACGAAATTAGTTTTTATTCGGTGTTTGTTCAAACAAAACAAGCGGGAATTCATCCCGATTGAACTGGCTTGACGGAGAGCCTGTCATTAGAGGAACCCATCAGTGGCGACGCGGATACTACCCGATCCCTTGATCGAGATCCGATCGGACTTGCCGCACCACATGCTCCGTCACGCAAAGAGATTCCGATCTGCCGCCGCTCGCCAGTTTTGCTATCAGTTGGATATCGTCCATATCTTTCCCTGGATCTTGGTTCTCCGTCCTGCGAGCGCTTCTCTTGCCAGAGAAACTAATAACACAATTTGACTGTTTTTAATTGGACCTAAATGAGCTGAAATTTTTCATAAAACTGTTGAATGTGGCACTTGATTACCCGATACGGCCGGTTGTTCGATGGCCATTTGGTGATAAGAAAAATGGCATCCCATTCAATCCCGAAACGAGACTCCTGCTGGTGCTGCTGCTGCTGCTGCTGCTGCAGGGACGCAGTTCTCATTCGAAAATCGTACCATAAACCAACAGCCCAGAGTTCCACAGGCAATAAACCGTGCAGCGAAGCAACAACGTCAAACCGTTCCGGGCATGCTAAATGATTTTTAATGAGCTTTAAACAAATATTTTCCGTGTTTCACTGCTGCAGCAAGATGCATCGAGGCACGATGCGGCGGCAGAAGAGAGTGGGCTGGAGAGCGAATTGGATGTTTGTTCAGTTCGAATGAGCTTGGCGATCTCGTGGTTATGTTTGCTGAGCAAGCCTGAAGGGGACACACCGTTTGCTTATTAAACTGTGGTACTACTACCTAATTGTCAATATTTTCAGTGTCCACAGCTGAGAATATGAATGTTTTCGTTTGCGTGTCATCGGAATCACGTGGAATCGTGAAAGGTTGCGATAATTAAGACACCTGTCTATATTATCCATTTTGACGTATTATTTTTCGGATCGTAAAGTTGGTCATTTGAATTGTAAATTCAATACACTTTCTCTATATAAAGCCTTGAAGGCCGTGGGAATGTTATCAGTAAGCTTATCAGCAAATCGGAAAATGGTTTCATCAAAGGCGCTCTTTCTCGGACTAGCAGTCTGCCTGGCTTTGGTATGTTATCTATCATGGTCCTTAATTACCATTGATATCAAATTTCGACACTTTCCATCGGTAGGTTCACTCGATCCAAGCTAGAGGAGGCAATCAAGCTTTGCGCAAACAGATGCAGTTACTGGCTTTGCAGAAATACGCTACCGACCATGGAATTGAACCACCATCGCAGGATGATCCCAATCCGACGGCTACGATCAAACAACGGATGCAGCAAAAGGCACTAGATGACTACGCCGTGAAACATGGGCTGAAGACAACTACTGAAGCTACTACAACAACTGTAGCAGCAACAACAACAACAACTGCTCCTGCGACAACTACAACAACTGCAGCAACAACTACAACAACTGCAGCAACAACTACTACCGAAGCCACAACAACAACTGCAGCAACAACAACTACCGAGGCTACAACAACTGCAGCAACAACTACTACCGAGGCTACAACAACAACTGCAGCAACAACAACTACCGAGGCTACAACAACTGCTGCCGATTCAACAACTGCTGCCGATGCAACAACTACTGCTGCAACTACTACGGCGTCAGAAACGACTACTGCCGCGGCTACAACCACCACAGGGTCTTCCTAGAATACGCCCACACTGGTATTAGTACTACCGAATGTACGGGGAAGGAATGAATGGTGGTAGTCAGCAGTGCACTGTAATTTGGCAATCAATGACATTATTTGAAAATCATTTCTTAAAATAAAGTTTTAATCTTGAAAACAAAACTTTGAAATGCGTTCTTTATGTGATTCGCACCAAATCGCAATGATGATGTTATTTGATATGAGATAAGAGCGCCCATAATTTCAATGTAGGAATGTATAACTGCATGTAAATATACGTAATTTAGTTCCGTCTAATTGACACTGGGTAATACAGACTCTAACAGATTAACAGGGTAAAGCCCCATTCAAAAAATGTCATGAATTCGTTTCGTTAGCTATCGCTATCTGAGTCGTCAAATACATTCGGCAATGAGAGTTGTTTTCCCTTGATTTGTTTTCCGTCGAACTTGTTTTCCGTACTGCACTCAAAAAAATGAGCACGTCACTATAATGTGTTTCACACTTGATTTCGCGCAAATTGTTAAACACATCTATTTCATGTGTGGATCAGATGATACAATCTATTCAGTAACGCTATAAAGCCATTTGAAACACATTTGGATTTCATGGACTTCAAATGTCAGTGTCAACAACCAATCCAATGATTGTCGAATATTCTACTCTCAACATCATATTGTCTATCGTATATGAATTGAGTGTCCTGCATAATATTAATCTTTTTTTTATAGTTTATTTAAAATGTTTATTATTAAATTACAAAAGATAATAATACTGAACATTATTGAAATTGATTTTGTTTGGTCCAGACATGCCTCGTTCTTACTCCCGTTCTCCGTTACGGTCGAGAAATCACGCGAAAAGAACACATATTCCTCCAGCTGCAGTGACTACGACTGGAATCGCCATGCGGATGATCGTTCTTCCAAATTTCGTTCGACAACGACTTTACGAAAATTTTGACAAAAATTGAACTGCACCTTTCTTCTTCACCAAAGATCATCTCCTTGCCAATCCTGGATTACATCAGTTTTGAATAGAAAAAGTTGTTTAGGTGGCATACTTTGAACAAATTACCATCCCGATTTTGTTTGCAGTAAAATTAATCCAAACTCGGTTTCACAGTACCTTATCTGCTGCTTAAATCAAGGATGTATCAAGAAAATCATTCGTAAATTTCTATTATGAATTACCTGAACAATATCGTGAAGATCACAGTTGCTTCTTCATCAGCTAATTGAATGATAAAACCTGGGATAATACGGAACGAAATTTAATAACTCGAATCAAATTATGCAATTGACAGGTGGCAAACAAAGTTCTGTTGTTTACATTTGCAGAACAAGCAAATCATATCGTGCTGAAATGCAAAACATTTAAAATCCTTATGTTTTGAACAGTAGCAGGATTTAATAAATTGTACAAATGGATTCAACGTGCAATGTACTTACATTGATATGGTAAGATTTTTCAACATTTCATAGATCAAAACACATGAAACTTAAGTGTAATGCACTTCGAATGAATGTTTAAAACACATCAAATTAATTTGAATGTGCATTTGAAAAATCAAGAGCTAAAACACATGAATCAAACGTGTAGAATTTTTTGAGTGTGAGTATCAATGCTATCGACGCCAGGGAGGCAGCTTTCACGCCTGGATTCTACATATCGACCCATCAACTCATGGACTGGGGACCAACGGCTTTACTTCCTTGGAAGGAAAGCGTGATCAGAGATTTATTCCTCAGAAAATCCCGACGGCACCGACTGGGATTGAACCCAGGCCCTTTGAAGTGAGAGGCGGTTACGGTTACGTTCACAAATAAGAATCGGGAACTGTTCACATTACAGAAGAACAGGCAATAGGTGCCATGTATGCGAGAATATAAATCCCTAACACATATCTACAGATAGGGTAACTTGAAACGTGACTGTAATTTGCGACAGTCAGATATTGAAAGCTATTTAAAGTAAGGCCAATGTCCCAACTGGAGCGCTTGTTCACTCAAGAGCAAGAACATCGAGTTCGTTGAGTTTCTCAATGAACGAAACATCGACATTGCCGTAATAACTGAATCCCACATGAAGCCCGAAATTAACATCTACCTTCCCAATTTCTGGCTCGTGAGGCTAGATTGAACCAGTTCCAAGGGAGGAGGAGTGGACATCGCCCTAAGGAGGCTGCTGTCAAGCTTTCAGCTGAAGACCATCGAAGTCGTAGGGGTGGAAGTTTCTTCTCCTGTCGGCCCTATAGCCATCGTTGTGGCTTACTACCCCAAACAAGTCAGCATAAGGGACAGATCGGCAGCAGACCTGCGACGAGATATTGTCAAGCTAACACGACGGTGGGAAAATTTCATCATCGCTGGTGACCTGAACGTTAAAAATCAAGCTTGGGGCAACAGTCGGCGCAATCAAAACGGCTCAATCCTGAACAACGACCTGCAGAAAGCGCAGTACAACATCTTGAGTCCAGACACTCCCACCCGTCGCCACCGTCGACATCTACATCAGCAACATGGCCAACAGCTCAAAACCGGTTGTCTACCAAAAACTCAGCTCGGACCACTATCCGGTGATGGCCGAAGTTGGTTCTTCGGTGAACCGACTCGTGTCAACTGAGCTCAATATCAACACTGCGTCCACACAATAATTGACTATGATGTCCAACCGGAGACGTCCGATTATGTTGACGGCTGTTTAAATACCATCGTGGAAGCCAGTATCCAAACAGGTGAGTAACACTCTGAACCTTGACAGCTCTACTAAATACCTCCTTAGTCTCCGTAACACCATTTGTAGGCAGTACCAGCGTACTGGTCTGCCTCACTTGAAGACCAATTGTAATCGATTAACAAAGATCATTCAGGTCAGGATGGTGGATCTCAGAAATAACAATTTTGTCAATACGATCCGTTCTCTCCCTGGAAGCTAACCAGAATCTTAAAAAATATGGCCAAACTCATTCCACCACTGGTTCCACTGAATCGTCCCTGTGATTCAGTGATTCATCTGATAACTCCTGTTGAGAAGGCTTCTGTGATTAGCCAACAGTTCGTCAGCTTCCATAATCTCGGAAAAACATGACTAGTCCACATGAGGCTGCTGTTGTTGATTCCCAACCACTTCTCCGAAGTTTCAGAGCTACTTCCCCTCATGTTGGAATTTAGCTAAAATCATACCTATCCGTAAAGCTGGGAAGGATCCTTCCTCTCCCTCTAGCTACATACCTATCAGCCTTCTCTCAGGGCTATCAAAGCTTCTTGAAAAAGCAATTTACCGGCGTCTTCTAATATCTGCCGACGAAAATAACATCTTACTCGAGGAGCAGTTTTCTTTTCGAAGAGATTATTAGATGAGAAAACTCCAAGTTGAGATTAATTCACTCATATTAAGTGTTGGAAAAATATCAGAAAATCAAATCTCACCAATGCCAATGTCCAAGATCATTGGTGAAATTTGGTTATGATTTTTGCTTCACATCCGAAATTAATAGAAACTTCCATAACGGCTGGCAGCAGTCCCTTCGTGTCTGCTATCGGCGAAGCTTAAAAAGAGATAGCAAGAAAAACAAACAGGAAGAACGATGCTTTGGCGCGCTAACTAATGTCACATTTGCTTAACACGCGTCGTAGTGAGACAGTGGGATAGTAGAAGAAATAGGGAGAGCGGGAGAGATCAGCAAAAATGAATGTTCTGCATTTAAAGGCATGCAGTCTAACGGAAAACTCACTTTCATGCTCAAAACGTGTGTTATTTTTAACACATTATGTGAAGACTAAGAATAATTTGTCGGGATCAAGAAAAGTTTGAACCCAAACCCCCCCTGGCTGCACCACTGGTAACACTATGCAAAACAACTTCGTTGTTAACTTTTAACTGTAGGCCAAGTGATTCGCGTTTACTTACAAGCTCATATCCACGCCTGTAGGTATGCGTGGTGCACTAGGCCAAACGCAAATGGTTGATAATTTATTGTACAGAAGTCGAATTGATTTGCGTTCTTGAATAAAGTTGTTTTGTATAGAAAATTTGTTCGGTTTGACAAGGACTGTAATTTTGAATTATCAGATTAGTTCACCAGTTCGTTTGGGTCAGAACTGTTGCATCATGTCAGCTAATACAACCAGCTTCATCAACATCAAGTTGGTTTTGCGACTATAGTATGGTGTACGGTGATATACTGAAAGTCACATTTTAATCAGAAGTAAAAATAAAACGATGAAAGTTACGCTGTGAATTCATATGGCTTTGAATAAAGAATAAATAAATAATTGTGAGCTTATAACTTATTTCTAAAATTATAAGCTTCACGGATATTCGTTCAATACTTTCGATTACGGATGAGTTCAAAGACCAGCAAAGTCCTGTTCCTATTCAATTTCGATGTTGTTTTATGAAAGTGATTCCTGAAAAAAAAAGAAATACCTTCAATCATCGTTATCTAAAACAGTCCGCTAAGCTGTTGTTCTTGGCGGCTTTTGCGAATGAAGCACATAAATATGATTTTTTTTTTCGCTTTTACCTTCCCTCTCCTTGACTGACGCCCGTCACTAATCTCCTCTTATGGACATAAAATTTCACAGCACTGTTTCCCTCAAGGAACTGCCGCAAGTGGTAAGTTACGAACGGGGAAACAACTCAATCTGAAACATTCAACATGATTTTGAGAGATTAACTCCGAAAGCTTTTTACCTCGTTTCGCTTTCAACCTCTCGGTCGTCAGTCGTCGTGATTCGTTACATACCTGCATTCCTCTCACGTGCCGCTGCTCCTCGCCACACTCCGATTCTGATTTCACCATCCACCAGCGAGCGGGGTGATTAAAGTAGATTTTAATCCACCGCGGAAAGAAGTTTCTTAAATTGATTAACATGGAAATTAATTAACATAAAATTACCTAATTAGATAAGTTGCAGGTCAACCGGCTGGGGCCCAATTCGGAGTGCTAGATTTGGCGCATGCCTATTGGGCAACATCGCTGGGGAAGTGTAGGTATCGGATTACAACAACGCAACGGTTCGCTTCCAAGTGGCTCAACATTCGAATGCTTTTAAGGCATCATCGGGAGTGAAGTCGAGAGCCGATCCCAATCACTCAAGCGCTGTATTCTTGTCGAGGA